TGGGTTTGGAAGAACTTTGTTTTTCATGGGTCGTTTGGCTGATGGTCTCAGTTCCTCATTGGCTATTGGCCAGAGGCTACCTTCAATTTTCTGCTATGTGTTCTCTCTACCATGACAGCTTGCTTCATCCAAGCCAGAGAGTCAATAACACAAGAGAAAGAGTCCCAGCAATTTGAAACTCACAGCCATACTTAATCTCAAGTGTAACACCCCATCACTTTTGCAGTATTCTGTTCATCAGATAGGTCCAGGCCAGATAGGGCATGAACACAAGGAGGCAGGGTCACTGGAAACTGCTTTAAACCACAAAGGGTATGGAAGTTACCTGAGTCCATAATCTGGGTTTGTGTTCAGGGAGACCTCCACTTTCTTCCCTTCTTCACTGCTTCCTTTGTGGAGCTATTGGGCAGGACTGGTGGCTTTGGGGTGAGTACAAGGGGAGGGTGGGAAGCAGAGTAGTGAAGGGAGGAGGGCACCAATCCCTTTATCCAGATTTATTCTAGAAAAAGATTTTAGAATTTTCAAGTTATCAAGCAGGCAAAAAAGAGAAGTGACTACAAATATGGATTTATTACCACTAATGCAAAAGCTGTTTCTGATAATAGTTTAAAGTATTTCCATATAATACATCTGTTCAGTTTAAATTTATAATTGGGAGCTAAAAAGCAACACAGTGCTGGTCAGGAAGCACAGAACTGCTGAGCTCACCTGGCACTTTGTGTATAGAATTTCTGGTAAGGAAAGATGCTGTTTGGGGTGGTTCTGTTCCAAAGATCATTACTGGCTGGTTGAGTCCCCAACAATGCCCTACCCAACTCCTCATTCTATAATGCTCGGCAGGCACTCACCATTCCCTGTGGAAGAAGAGAAAGAGATTGGGAATCTCAAATCCCAAAACATCATGGAAACGTGTATTCTGAAAATATCACACAAGGATTTCAAAGTCTTCTGCACCAAAATAAACTTATCTTAATTTCATTTTTCCGTGTACTTTTTGAGGTATTCCATAAAGTATAGATGGAGGAACAGAACCTACACACCCAACACATTTTTTCTCACTCTTCAAATTAGGTTTTCCCATTTTAGGACCCAGAAAAGTGAGGCACCAAGAAACAAAGTAGCTTGACCAAGGTGGCATGTTGGTGGGTGTAGTACATAGTTCTGGAGTTGCCAGTCACATGTGGCATTGGAATGGGGATGTGCTGGGCACAATGGCTGACCTTGAACATGACAGGTGGTTGGCACAACTGTCCTTCACCTTCCATCTCACAATTTATGAACAACCATATAGATCTATGTATGTATTTATGTACATGTGGTCCTTGACTCATGTTGCACTATGCCCCAATGAGCTCACCATGAGTTGAAAGATACTCTAAGTCAAAAATGCACTGAGGAGCCGGCGCTGTGGTGCAGTGGGTTAAAGCCCTGTCCTGAAGTGCTGGCATCCCATATGGGTGCCAGTTCTAGTCCTGGTTGCTCCTCTTCCAATCCAGCTCTCTGCTATGGCCTGGGAAAGCAGTAGAAGATGGCCCAAGTCCTTGGTCCCTGCACCCACGTGGGAGACCCAGAGGAGGCTCCTGGCTTCTGGCTTCGGATTAGCACAACTCCAGCCGTTGCAGCCATCTGGGGAGTGAACCAGCAGATGGAAGACCTCTCTCTCTCTCTCTCTCTCTCTGTCTCTACCTCTCTCTGTAACTCTGTCTTTAAAATAAATAAATAAATCTTTTTAAAAAAAAAAAGTACTAAAGGGTGAGTGTTGTAGCACAGTGAGCTTAGCCACCTGTGTCACATGTCAGTTCATGTCCCAACTACTCCATGTCTGATCCAGCTTCCTGCTAGTACATCCTAAGAAGCAGCAGGTGATAGCTGAAGTGCCCAGGCCCCTGCCACCCAAGAATTGAGTTCCTGGCTCCTAGCTTTGTCTTAGACCAGCCCTGACTGCTATACACATTTAGGGAGTAAACCAGTGGGTACAAGACTCTCTCTCTCTCTCTCTCTCTCACTCTCTCTCTCTCTCTTTCTCTCTCTCTCTCACTTTCTAGCAGATGAAAATTAAATAAATAGGTTTTAATGTACTCATTACACCTCACAACCAAGCCTAAGAAGCATTCTGACTTAGCAGCACAGCATACTGTACAGCATCATTTGTTTCCCCCTTGTGGTCACTTAGCCCACGTCTGTCCACACAGGGACCCCAGGGGACAAGGCCAGCTTCACCTGAAGGAGGAAGCAGTCTTTCCAGCTGACCTGGTTTTTGTCAGGAAGATATGGAGAATTTAAGGGAGCAGAAGTCAATGGCAGCTGCTGTGGTCGGAAGAAAAATGCTTTTCTCCCCAAACATGTTCATGCCCTCATTCCAAGGACCTGTGAATGTGCTCTCTCCATAGCAGAGGGCATGAAGAATGCTGATGGGAAACTGTGGCCAATCAGCCAGTCTTAAAGCAGTGATCTTACTGAGTATTGTGCAAGGGCCTCCATGATAGTCCCAGTGCTCTTAAGGAGGTCAAGAAGGAGGCAGCCATGTGGATGTCAGACTGAAGTGACCCAGGAAGGTTCAATCAGCCTGGGATGGCTATAAAGATAAAAGGGGCCATGAGCCAGGGCACAGGGGCTGTCTCCAGAGCTAGAAAAGCCAAAACATAAGCAAGAGTTCACCCTGCAGCCTCCAACCTACCTACACCCTGAGGGTGGCCCCGTGAGACCCCGTCCCATCTCTGACTTCCAGAACTACAAGACAAAGAGTATTGTTTTAAGCATCTACAACTATGGTCATTTGTGACAGCCTCCATAAGAAACAAATAGGAAATGGGGTAGGATCATCTAAATCCAAGGGAAAAAACCTGTGAGGTCCAGAGAAGCAGCAGTTGGTTCCCAGGTATGGGGCTAAGGAGAGCTGAGGATGCGTCTGCGCTCTGCAGGACTCAGTAGGCAGGGTTATGGGTGAGAGACTGAACAGGCTCGTTTCACTTCTAAGTGCTCAAGGGCTGTCAGTGTGACCCCAGACACAGCTGAGGGGCTCTGAGTCCCCTTCTTGGGGGGCCTCTGGAGCCATCATTTAAAAAAAATGCAGGAACCAATAGCCAGTGACAGCCACCAAGAGAACCCTGCTTCTTTGACCTCGTCACAGTCTGTGCTGCTTTGTTTATTTTTCCTGACATGATTGACAGTTAAACCCTTTAAGGAAGGAGTCTTGTGAGTCCTTTTATGGACAGCAATGATAAAGGGGGGAGAAAAAAAGAACTCCCACTTCCCAAACATCCGGGGCTGCCAGAACCCTAGGACAAAAAAAACAAGAGTGAGCACAAGGAGAGGTAGAATCCTGGAAGAGGGAAGAGGCTGTGGGGCCAGGACAAGGTCGTCCACACAAGCACAAATCCAGGACCAATGCATCCCCAGGGAGGGCCACCCTGCCTAGCCAGGAGTAGCACCTGGCATGGAGCCGGCACTCAGCAAATGTGAGACATTTTTCTTCTTCTTGCATAACAAAAGGAATGTATTTTTCAGGAAGGTAATAAGATTATCCCTGATAACTGATCCATTAAAACTGGACAAATTTTCAGAATACCATGTAGAATGTCAATAAATACATAAAATTTGTAATGTTCACATAGGGTAAACACACCCATCTCTTCAAAACATTTATGATTTCTCTATGGTGAAAACATTCAAAATCGTGCTTCTAGCTTTATCGAAAGAAGTGGAGTAGACATTTGGCACAGTGGTGAAACCATTTCTTGGGACACTCCCATCCCATATAGAATGCCTGGATTCCTGTCTCAGCTTTCTGCTAATCAGCAGGTGATGGCTCAAGCACTTGGTTCCAGACCCCTTCAGGGATATTGTGGCACAGAAGTTTGAGCTGCCACTTGGGATGCCTGCATTCCATTTCAGAATGCCTGGCTAGAACGCTGGCTGCTCCAGTTCTGATCCAGCTTCCTGCTGATGCAGCCCAGGAGGTAGTAGATGACGACCAGATACTTGAACCCCTGTCACCCACATGGGATATCGAGATGGAATTTTAGGCTCTTGACTTTGGCTTGGTCCAGCCCTGGCTGTTACAATCATTCAGGGAGTGAACTTAGGTCAATGGATGCAAGACATACCTTATCTCTCTCTCGCTGTCTCCCCTTCTCTCCCTCTGCCTTTCAATTAGATGAAAATAAATAAATAAACTTTAAATTTTTTTCTAAATAACATACATTCTATATAACAGTACATTGTCATGATATGCAGTCCCCTTACTGTACAATAGAACACCAGAATTTTTTCCTCCTAACTAACCATAACTTAGTGCCCATTAATCAATCTTTCCCCAACCCTCCCACCACCCTACTCTCCCCAGCCTCTAGTAGCTACCATTCCACTCTCCAGGCCTGAGAAGGAAGAGACAGCGGGGCATGAAAAGTCTCTGGGAGACACCCTCTGTGGCCTCCAGGACTAGCTGAGGACACATGGTACCCGGTAAGACTGATCTGCCAACCCCAGACCTCAGAACTGGCCATCAACTTAAACCAGGCACCCAGTTCTCTGGTCCCTGACACCACTCCTCTCTGAAGCTTCCTAATTCCCTTGTCTCCAGCTGATTGGGAATGGGATGGAGAGGGGCCAGGCACTTGGCAGAGTTCCCACCCTCTCAAGGCTCAGAGCTGCACCCTGGCAAGGCTTACAGCCATTTCTGCCTTCTTTTAGTTACCAAAGGAAAAAACACTGATTGTAAACATCACTTTAAAAGCATAGCACCCAACAGCCGGCTCAGCTGCAATACATCAGCCTGAATTGTACTCATTTATGGTGAAGCATTTTATATTAATGTTTTCATTGCTTATCACAGACACTGGCTTTAAAGTGCTTAAGCCAGCTGTACTGAGTTATTTATTAGGCTTTTCTCTTTTCTAAGTTGCCTTTTCCTTAAATAAAGTGTTTGTTTTACTTTCATACTTTTAAGAATCCCTCTTGTCTCCTGCCCATCACTTCTGATGGCTGATGTGAATACATACCCTGTCTCTCCAGGATGTGTTCAGTTTCTACTGAAATCAGGTGAACTGAAGCCGGTAATGCCTGTGGAAGGGTAAGAGTCTACCAAGGCTGAGGATTCCATCTCTGAAGGGCCATTTAGCTTCTTCTCCTCCATGTCTTCCTTTGTCCCACAAACTGGATTCCACCTGCATAGTGATATTGAGGATCATGAGTGGTTGTCCAAAGTCAACAGGCTAGATATCTGCACTATAACCAAGGTACCAATCATTTTTCCCAGGCATGCTTTTCATCCTGCTGTTCTAATGACTCTGCTATCCCTTTCAGTCTCTCCAGCCTCCTCCTCTCTCCTAACTGTAATGGCCTAAGGCTCATCTCCCAGACCTGCTTTCAGCAGGACTAGAACCTGCATAAGGTGAAGGAAGCTCTTTGGTGAGGCACCTCCCCTCCTTTGCCCACGGGGTCTCCCAGGAGACTAAAAGCAACACAGAAAGCTGAAGGTGTTGTCTGCAGAGAGTCAAATTCTTTAGACTTGTAAATTGGGTATCAAAATAGCCTGGATCCAATCCCACCACCAGGAAACTCACCATTCAATAAAGCCCAACGATAACCACAGATTTTCAGTTGGCAACGTGGCTCCTTACTCAGAAATATGAACAGGTAACCAAGGGTCAGCAGACATTTAAGAAAAATGTGAATGAAAATAATAACCTAGAATTAGGAACTCTGGGAAACAAAAGTAAAGCAAGAAGAATACTTTTTAAAAAAAGCTACAGCTGGGACTGCTGTTGTGGTGCAGCAAGTTAAGCCAGCACCTGCAATGCTAGCATTCCATATGAGCCCTAGTTCAAGCCACAGCTGCTCCACTTTCTATCCAGCTCTCTGCTAAGGCGCCTGAAAAAGCAGTGAAAGACAGCACAAGTTCTTGGATCTCTGCCACCTATGTGGGAGACCCAGACACAATTCTAGGCTCCTGGCTTTGGCCTACCCCAACCCCAACCATTGCAGCCATTTGGAAAATGAACCAGTGGATAAAGATGTCTCTCTTTCTCTCTCTCTCTTTTTCTCTGTAACTTGTCTTTCAAATAGCTAAATCTTAAAAAACAACTATAGCTGGGGCCGGCGCTATGGCACAGTGGGTTAAAGCCCTGGCCTAAAGCGCTGGCATCCCATATAGGCTCTGGTTCTAGTCCTGGCTGCTCCTCTTCCAATCCAGCTCTCTGCTATAGCCTGGGAAAGCAGTAGAAGATGGCCCACGTCCTTGGGCCCCTGCATCTGTGTGGGAGACCCAGAGGAGGCTCCTGCTCCTGACTTCGGATCGGCATAGCTCCGGCCATTGCGGCCACCTGAGGAGTGAACAATCAGATGGAAGACTTCTCTCTCTGTCTCTACCTCTCTCTGTAACTCTGTCTCTCAAATAAATAAAATAAATATTTTTTTAAAACTATAGCTAATGTCTTCAGAGAAAAATAAGATAGGTATCCATGCAATAAGAACAGAAAGCTATTGTAAAAGCGCGATTAGAAGAATTTTTGAAGAGTATATGGGTATTAAATATGGAATAACTATAATAAAATTAAACAGACTTCTAGAAGATAAATTTATGCAATATCTTAGAAAATATACAAAAGATAATGTGATGAAATGCTGAAAAGAAATAACAGGAAAATTAAAGCATACATCAAGGACATCCAATAGTCTCTCAAAACATTTTTAATGAGAAATCAAAGGAAACAAAGAAGCAAATACAAAAACAAAAATCCCAAAAACATTTCCAGAACAGAAGGGTTTGAGTCTTTTGATCTTTGTCAAAAGATCAAAAATGCTGAACAGGGAAGAAAAGGGTTCACCTAGATATGCCAATCTGAAATTCCAAACGCTAGGAATAAGGAAGATACAAACACTTCCAGAGATGAGTGAAAAGAAAATCATATGCACAGAGTGAAAACCAAGAAGGCATCAGGCCTCTCAGTAGCATCACTAGAACCTAGGGTGCAGCAGACCAAAACCTTCCGAATCCTTGGGGGAAAGTATTTCCACCCTAGAGCTCTATATCCAGCCAAAAGGGGAATCAAGCGTGAGCAGTGGAAGAAGACCCGTTCATATATGCAAGGGCTCTGCAACTGTACCCTCTTGTGTGTTTTCATGAGAGGCTACTGGAAGAGAACCTTCACCAAAGCAAGAGTGTAAAGCAAAGAGGCTGTGAGGTCCAGGAAGGAGACACATGGAGAAGAAGAGCTCCAGGAGAGGAGAGAGGAAGGCTGCAGCAAGTCCAGAGAGAGCCCATCCAAATCAAATGTAGCAAGGGTCTGGGGCTCCCTATGGCCTGGATATTAGTTTGGGCATCTCCCAATGTCCATGTGTTAAAGGCTTGGTCCTAAGAATGGAGCTATTGGGAGGTGGTTCCCTTTGAGGAGGTGGGGCTTAGCGGGCAGTCCTCAGGTGATTCAGGTATGCCCTTGGACAGCAGTTCTCACCAGAGGGTTGTCATAGAAGCCTGGCTTTGGGCCCACCCACTCTGCTTCCTGGCTGCCATGTACTCCTTCCTCCACTCATGAGCCTGCATGACACTGCTTGAATTTTCAGCCTCCAAAATGGTGAGCTAAATAAACCTCCCCTGCCTTCATAAATAGCTTGTCTCAGGTATTTCATCTTAGTGATGAAAAGTGAATTAATACAGGGCCCCAGGAGGGATGATTCCAAGGAAAAAAAAAAAATGCTGTTCCATCACCCAGTGGCATTGACTCTACCTAAGGGATTCTGGTAGTTCTGTCTGAATTCAGGGAAGAGTCTGTGACAAGTACGCAGAGAACAAGGCAAATTTCTAAAATGCATGATTATTAGCTCTTAGATAGACAAAAAGTTGTTTAAGAAAGAAAATAATTGTATTTCTATTCCTTTGTGGATATTTTTGGAGATACAAATATGGAGATCTGAAAAATTCATTTAATAGAAAATTGCAATATAATTGTTGAGCCAAAGAACTGCTGTGCTTTCTAAATCTTATAAGAAATTTGAATTTTTTAATCATGTACATGTACTAGTTTCACAAGAAGTACAAATTTAACTCAAGTGTATTAACTTAAAGATCTGTGCATAGTTGTGTATTACAGAAAGGGCAAGAGTCCACCAAGAGCAGATGTACAACGAACAGGAAAAGCAGATGCAGCCCCTGCCCTATCGGAACCTCTTTCTAAACATGCTCTGCTGTCTCTTAACTCTGCACCCTGCACAGAGCTTGTTTGTCTGGAAAATGCCAACTCATTTATCAAGGTTCTTTTCATTCCTTCCTCAACTCCCCCAGGCTGGCAGCCTTCTCTGGGTCCTACTGCCCTTCACACAAACCTCCAGTGCAGCAACTGTCTCGCCATAGTGGATGGCTTTATTTGCAAAACTGTTTTTTGGTCAGTCCCTGAGTTCCTGAAATGCCTTGACTTCATTTTATGCTGATCCCAGCACAATGTTTGGCTCCATGTCAAAGCCCAATAAGTGTCTGTCAAATAGACATGCATGGGTATATCAGTGCATGCATGAAAGCATGCATAAGCATTTGCATGGATGCAAGCATGCACAGATGCACACATGGATGGATATGTGGAGGTCTAGGCTGTTTTCTCATCACCACTTAAAATAACACAGGTAATTAAATAAAGAAGCCTGAAAGAGTAAGTAGTATACAGGAAATGATTGTACCACCCTCCCTGGATCAGCTTGCACAGAGTAAGCCATTAGCTCCTCAGTGGAAATGAAAGGACTGTATTCTTGCTTCCACCTGGGACCCAAGGTGCTCCAAAACAATATGCATGACATAGAGAGAAAGCAGAAAGGAAGGAAGTGGTATGGAAAGGGGAGGAAGAAAGCCCTGAAGTTACACCTCGATGGCAGTGTCACACCTCGCTGGCAGTGTCACCTCTCTCTACTTGTGACTTCCAACAAGAAGCTCAAATGCCTTTTGGGTGATGCTGGATGCTAAAAGTGACCAAGCAGCAAGAAACCAGCATTCCCTCCAGTAATGATGTACACATCTAGTACTGGGGGCAGGAGTGACTGGTGTCACCCTTCTCAGACCCAGCCTGTGGGTGCCATCAACAATATTTATGCTAATAGTTTACATTCTTTCCATGAACACCTCCAAGCAGGTAGGCAAAAAGATACGGGGATTACCTATAGCCCCCTCTTGTCCCTGTCCATTTCCTAAGCATAGCCATTTCCTAAATTGGGGGCCACAACTTTATATTCTGAGTCTAAAGGGGAAGGGGGATTTACCAAAGACTCACAGGGAATTTCTGAAGCCCTGTAGATGCTGCTTCATTCCACCAAAAGGATCTTTAGCAATTGAAAGTTAAAATGAGTTTCTCATGTATTTCTCACACATTCATCCAACACAGGTTGGGAGCTGGTCAGCTTTGTGGCATGATTTAAGGCCTCTGAAAAGCCCGCACTTCCCCAAAATATCTCCCCACTGGCCTGAAATTCATTTCACTTCATAACCATGCTTGAAATTCCACCAATTAGAAATTCATTTACAAGCCCCTCTTGTAAAATGTGCAAGAGTGATTAGCTTTATTTGATGCTGCTCCAGAATCTAAAATTAGGACCAATGGCTGGGCTTAATAAAGAAAAATTGATGGGCTTTAGTTTGACTGAAAAAGCCTCTCTGTCAGTTCTTGCTGTTCAGCATGGGACCAGCAACTCCCATGAATGACAGATAAGTGATCACTTAAGACAAAACCTTCTCCTTCTGGACAGCTCTAAAGGGGTAGAAAGTTATTCCTTGCAGTGGATTAAAATTTGCTTCCCAGTACTCTCAGTCACTTGCCCTAGTTCTGCCCTCAACAACACAAAGTCTAATTACCCACCCCTTGTCAAGCCGGGTTTCCTCCCCCTTGGAGTTTCTGTGGCCCTTCCCCCATGTCTATCAGCTGGGCAGCACGTGTGTATTGATAGGTTTAGTCAGGATTCTTTGCCTGCCCTCCAGCAAGCGGCCTTTAGTAGGGTAGAAGTTGTAGGGTGTCTGTGATATTCAACACTGACCTCATGTTTTCTACTTTGCATTAAGGACTCTAGCGTATAAAAGGGCATGTAGGGCTGGAAGTATTGTGTAGATATCATAGGATCAGTCAGGTGCCAAGTCATGGACAAGGAAATCAAATCAAAGGGATTCAAGAAAGTACCAATATTTGGGCTG